CCCTATGATACAGGCATCTTTGGTAGTTGTTAGTAGTAACTGTACAAGTGCTTTACTGGTTTGTTTCAAAATAAAAGGACCCTCTGCCATCCCATTGAGGTGTACACCTGTAGTAGCCACAGCTTGGTGTGGGCTACACCTTGGATAGACCGTCCTGGAACTAGAAAATCAATATAGTTTTAATTTCAGGTAGAATTCCCCTGGAGAAAAGCTTTTCTGCAATGCACTGCCAAGGAGAGTATTCCTCAGCAGGGAATGTTCTCCCAAAGCATCCGATCCACTCATCTTCATCTGCGAGTGCATCGCTAATCGTCAAAATTTCCGGAGTCTAAACTGCACGTTACTGTGGGGACTGTGTCCACGCTCCAGCACTCTGAAGGGAAAAGGAGGTTAAACACACAGGTTTTAATGATGGAGGAAAGTGCACGGACCAGGTATGTGGTGGACAAGATTTATCTATACACAAATTTAGGATAGGGGAGGGGACAAGGAGGAAGGGAAAGGAACGAAAGAAAAGAAAAAGAAAAAAAAAAAAAGAAAGCAAATCAGAGTTACATGCATGGTATGTAACAATAAGGAAAAATGGGTACTGCAAACCAAAACGCTTTGCTAGTCTGGGCTATTGCGATGCACTAGTTACGAATTAGTGGTGGCAATAAAAGGAGCCAAGCAGAGAGTACTTAAGCAAGCAGAAGTGCAGAGAGTGTAAAGGGAATTTTGCCTCTTTAAGGACTAAGTTTCACAGTGTCTGGCCATCTAGATGGCAATTAACAGTAACGGCAATACTGCCAGGATCAATCTTCCTGCTCCCATCAGCCACAGTGGGAGCTCCTTGCTGCTCGGGAGCATGCCCAAAGCACCTCACTGACCTTCGGAAGGATCTCTCCAGCCCATGGACCATATCTGCTCACTGTCCCAAAGCTTTTTTCTTTCGGAAATGTCACTCCAAGAGCATGCTCATGTCACTGCATGAGCAGAGAGGAGAGAGGGGAATAAATTAACTCAAACATACAGAAAGGCTTAGGAAAAAGAAGCCTTCAAAGATATGAACCAAATTAGGCTGAGGAAGATGGCTAACATGGTAATTTATTCTGGATAGATCAGTTCAAAAGGATGGGTCTGTTATTCATTAGAAAGCAAGAAAGAGTGGTTATGAACTGGAATCATGACATCAATTAGTTTCCCCATTAGCAGTGATTGGGGTAGCTGGCCAGCCCTGTGCAAGTGAATACATGCGAGGAATTTCTTATGTCAATTTACTATTACAGACTAATGTAATTGTTAACCTTGGTACTTCACATTCATTTTTAGAGCTTAATGAATCAGCTGTCTAATTTGTCAATGTTGATTAAAAGATGAAAGAAATGGGAATATTTTCATGCAGGAAAGAAATTGCTTTTGAAAAAATAGAACTGATCTGTTTTGTGTATATAAAATCAGCCATGAAACTACTGAAGAAAGCAGAGTTTGGGAATCAGACATGCCTCTGGTCCTAGTCCAGCTGCACAATGGAATATGCTTAAAAATGTGAGAGTGAAGTTTAAGTATTTTACCAAAAAAGATAAATTTAAACTTATGCTTCCAATAAACTAGACTGGAATCTTTGATTAGATCTCTTAGATCTTTAGTTGAGTTAGGATTTAAATCAATGCCAGGCAAAACCCAGAGATAAAAGCAGTTGCAAAATAAAATGTGTTCTGCTTTGCATACACTCGACCTTTTCAAAAGCACACAGGACACTCAAAAGGATCTTAGTTTTCAATTCTCACTGCAAAACCAGTAGGCTTTCCATGATGGTTTTGCATACGAGATATCCAGCTCCCTTTAAAGAGTTTTCCCTTTTCGAGAAAGCAGAGGAGTCAGAGGAAGGGTGGCCTGGGATGGAGTCTGCAGTCCCTGTGTCCTTTCAAGCACTGAGAAAATCACAGCAGTTGAGAATTAGTCCCTCAACCCCAATGAGCCCCTGGGGAGCACTGAAGAGGACTGAAAAAAATAAAGTGCTAACAGTGTGGAGAACCTTTAGGCATGTTGCCAAAGGAGATCATACTCATCATGCACATTCTTTGGAGACTCCTGGATGGCTTTCAGATCAAAATCCATCAACCTTTTTGTTATTTCTGTAGGAGAATTACAGTTCTCCGGAGGTGTCTCTGCGAATCCCTCTTTGAATTTAAAGCATGGTTGACCTGGAAACACGACAATATAAAACCTCAGCAGGTTCATGATCATAAGTCTGCTTACCTGCCTGCGGAGCAGCCTTTCAGCAGAAGGAGAGTGCACCTGCTGGGAAACCTGGCGTTTGCTCTCCCTCACCAAATGGTCATGACCTCTTACGGGGTGAAAATGGTCTTTTGGAATTTGCAGGAGAGAGCTGGTGTCTGCCGGCTGTGACTGCACCGATGCCTTTGAACCTTGCAAGAGGGAGCAGAGACAGAAATGTAACATGTTCATCTGGGGATTGTGTCCTAATCTCAATGACTTTTCAGAGAAAACCGCTCTGCTGCCCCTTGGACCAGACAGGCATGGCAAAACCACTGAATTCAGCAACTAGCTATCCATGAGTGGTAAAAAACTCCCAGCTACTAATAAATTATTGCAAAACTGTCTATTATTTCATTTTTCTTGGCATTTTCCCCTGATACAACTGGGACTTGCTCCTGTTAAGAACAGAAGATTATGAACTAGGAATTCATCTGGACTGGCAATTTCTACATCCCTGCTTTAGGGCCAATAACTTTGGCAGGCAACGACACATCTCAGCACTGCAAGGACCTGACTTTGAAAGAACTCTAGAAAAGGATGTCTCCAATACCTCAGCGGATGCGGAGACCAACTGCTGGGACCCCGAAACCAGCATGCACACTGGAAATGAAGTGAAAGGGAACAGCACCTGGCAGCTTTCACGGCTAGTTTTACGAAGCATCCCAGGAGAAGGAAATACATACTCTCCAGCCTCTTTCTGACCCGTTGTGGTTGCTGGCTACTTCTAAAAGGTTTGAAACTCTGCGTGCTCCGCCCCCCCGCCCCCCCAACAGGCTCAACATTTTTCAAAACAATTCATTTAACCTGGACCACATCCCAGAGAATCTCATTTGTCCTGGAACCTTTCCCAGAACAACAGCCCCATTACGAAGGAATATTCAAACAAATACCTCCTGCAAGTGCCAGTGTTTCTGACAACAAAACCTTTCTCAGCTTGAAATATTATGGCTTAGTTGTGGTGATTTATGAGAGGCGCCTGGCACCTTTTGCTGTCTTCACAGCACTCTATAATATTACAAACTGTAAACAGGTAGGGGTGACTTCCCCCACCCTGAAAAGCAGTGACATTGTAGGTGGAACAGGACAATTGATGCATATGCCGAGATCTGGGCACCTTACCCACCTCTGAGCTCTATGGCCTGCTTAAGACAATTGGAATTTCACCAGCAGGAGAAAAAACACAAAGGATTTAATTGCTTAATGTGGTTATGAATAAGACATCGGCTTTACCTTTCCAAAATACTTCTACACCTCAGTGGAACAGTTTTCCCTGTGGATTTACAAGGGCGCAATGCCTGCCCCCGCCCAAGCCAGGGCAGTCAAATGGGGCTATTCAGTTCTCCAAGCTAGGAACTGGGAAGCAAAATCTTGAAGAAAGAAGGGACTCAGAAATTGCCCACTTTTTGGTCAAGTTGACATAGTTTTCATTCAAGACAGGACAAATGCATCCAAATTAAGGATCAAAAATGAAGCACTGGAAACTCCCTCTGCAGCAAACAGATCCTTTTGTATGGCCAGGGATTAGAACTCCAAGGAATTTCTTGGCTGTGGCAGAGAACCGTAAATTCTAGCTCTGCTGAAGGTAATGGGAGTTTTGCTGTTGACTTCAGTAGGGTTTGACCAGGATTTTACCTGCACCTTTTGCGTTACGTGCAAACAGGTTCTTCAAAGGACAGCTCTTGACCTTGAAAATTTTGTGTTATGGGAGTGATTTCTCACAACGCCATTTTCATCTTCCTCCGTTGTGTCCACATTTTTTTCTTGCTGTTCAACAGCCACTATTCATCCAAATTCTTATTACTATGCAAATTTCAACATCTTATTTCTAATCTGCTCAAATCTCCTACCATTCTGAACAGTGCTGAAATTATGTTCTGCTTAGAGGTTTTCAAATGACAATGCTTGTAAAAACGTCTCTGTCTTATCTGTGACAAATGTCTAAAATGATGGCACGTACAGAAGAATTAAAGACAGCTACATTCACTTACCAGTAGAAGGTAACCCTTAGCAGACAGAGTAAATGAAAGCACATTGATAAGCACCGGGAGGCAGCTGCAAGTACAGGCACAGAGGTGCAGGTAGAGAGAGAGCCCCTGGTAGCTGCAATATGCAGCATCTAAGAATATCTCTGAATTTAGCTCTAAGGCGTATATCCCAACCAGGCACACTGGGAAGGGCAATTCTACACTCTCATTTTTCCATTCATCTCACACTGAGATCTCTCTCAATTCAGAGCATTTATGTTCATTTTACAGGCATTTAGAGACACCATTTCCCCCTCTTTCACAGATGTTCCCGTACAGAGCTTCCAAAACCTGCTAGAATAGGTACTGCTGCAAAAAAAAAAACAGATGTGAGGAACTATTTTTTTCTGCTGGGATTTTTGCTCTGGGACCATAGCTAGTTCAGGTGAGATGGGTGGAGCCCAGGCTGTACGGACTGTAACCTTCAGGGAACCAGGCAGGGGGGCAATCAGTGTAGAGCCAGGCCAACTGCTGACTGTCACATTGCCACAAAGTTCAGAGGAAAGGAGTTACCTTCAACAGCCTAGACTTTGTAAGTTGTGGAGGGTCTTTTCAAAGCCATTCCACAGGTCTGGACACCAACACCTCCCTGGAAACTGATGGCAATTTGCTGCCTCCTACTGAACAGCTTGGAAAATCCCAGCTATTTCTATATTGGAAAATCCTGCTCTTGTCCCAGCTGACAGATGTGTACCTGACTGGGACTTGTGGTGTGCTGGATTCCTCTCGCCCAGGGAGGCAGGGCAGGGGCTGGAGTACGGCGGCTGGAACATGTAGCTGTCATTTGGCAAAGAGTGGGTGCGCCCCACCGAAGGCTTTCTCACGCTCAGCAAGTCCTTGCTGGGAGACAGGGTCAGCGTGTCATCTTTGGAGCGGAGATCAGCCTACAGGGAAAAAAACAGTGAGGAAGGAAGTCGTGACAGGGTGGGAAGAGGAGAAGTGCCCAGAAACGCTAGCGACAGCCATTGCAATCAGTATAGCACAATGGGCATGCACATCGTCAGTATGTACAAGTTGCACAAATGGATCTACCAGGAAGCTATACCCCTCGTTTTGTATTGTCAATAAATTGTCACACAGAATGAACCACAGAAACAGAGGAAGCAACACTGTAGGAATAAACCATGACTATTTCAGGGATATGCAAAGAAGGCATCATGCCTCAAGGCCAGCAAAGGTCACATGCTTTGCATAACTTTGATCCTCTGCAATAACAGTAAAGCTCTCTCAGTGTGCCCTCATCAGCAAGTCAGACTTTTGCAGTGGTGAGTAGTTTCCTCTTCTAACAATAAAAGAAAAGAAAAAACAAATACAAAAAGTAGTTTACAGAAAATATTCTCTATTCTGTCTCCCAGGACAATTTTATTGGTTTTTCTTCTCACTTAATGAATAACTAAACCTATTTTATTGAAAGGGATATCTAAACCTACTGCTTCAGGGTTAAAGCCATTCTCTAATTAGAAGGGATCTAATGCAAGTGAAGGTTATTGTATATGTGTTGACTGTGGAGTTTTTACAGCCAAAGAGTCTTTTGGAATGGGCAGCACCAGAGGCAATATCAAATGAGGTGGATTCAGGTCTGATCTCATAAGGAAATATCTCCACCCCAGAAATGTTCTTGGGTGTTATTGTGTTGGACAGTATCAGCAAAAATGGAGGCAAAGTCAACTTCCCTGGATATTGCTAAAGAAAGAATTATTTCATCTTTAAAAGGTCTCCATTGAAAAACACAGAAATAAGATGTGACACTATAGTCCAATACACTACATTGCTGATCATTTTTGGAAAACTTTAGATCTTATTTTCTGACAAATCGTCTGTTCACTCAGTGCATTACAGGTTTCCTGAACTCAACACTGAGATTTTTTTTTGCAATTTTATCCTTCAGTCATAAAATCAAAATTTCACTAGAGCGTTTTGCTTGCACAAGAAACACGATGAGATTAAAAGGAATTTACAAAAAGGAAAAAAAAAGAAAAAAAAAAAAGAGAGAAAGAAAAAAAGAAGTGGGATAAAAAAAAAGAAGACCACTGTTGTAAATTTAATGAAGGAAACGGATCTGCACTGTCATGCAGCATTAGCTTCAGTCCTCGGGAACCTGCCGATTTGGATATAACCTGGATATAGCCTAGATAAGAGAGACTGCAGTCTCCTGATATAGCTCAGGGGAGGAGAGCGAAATGCATGCTTGTAAAGCTGGGTTTTGGGAATGTCTCTCTTCCTCCCTGCCTCCCCCTCCTAAGCAGTATGTTTATGCTATTTAGCTTTCATAGTGTTTAGCCTAAAGGAGAAAAGATGGCCTGAAACCTGAGATTTCAAATTCCAAACCATTTGGATCCGAGATCCTATCCAAACCCAACCTTTAATGAACCTTTAGTTTCATTGACAGGCTCCAATACCACAGCGGGCTCGTTTTCAATTTCTGATCATCTCGGGGGAAATCTCGTGAGTGAACTTCATGAAAACCCTTTAAAATGGCTGCAAAATGATCTTCCGAGTCCAGCTCACAAACGGAGCAGCGGGAGCACATGACTTTTTGGTTCACTGGTAGTTTTGAAAAACATGTTGTTTTGGCTTGACTGAAAATCAAATCTGAGTTTTCCATGAACCAAAAAAAATCCCAGTCCAAATCTATTTCGAGTTAAATAAAACATTCTGAGGTATTTTTTCAGCTAAAGCTGTGTCTAAAGGAAGTGTAAAAATATTACATTTAGAAAAGATTTCAATGAGAGATTGCAGTTTTTCAGGAGTCTGGGAAACTGTTTTGAAGAAACACTTGTTGGTATTGACACAAATTCACAAAACACTTTGTTCAACCTGGTTCTGGGGTGTTTTTTGGAGAAGAAACACGTCTCTTGGCTATACCCTTGAGTCTTTGCTATGCTGTCAGACAGGTTTGTCTAACCTGATTCTAAACTAGAAGGGCTCTCTCCTCAGTCCAGCTCTCCAGACTAACTGATTTTGAAACAAAAAGTCCCATACGAAACGTTAAACGTAGTTTACAAAATCTTTTGCACGTGATGCCATGAAGCATGATGGGAAATATTGTCACGGTTTACGAGATGTTTCCCAAATAAGTGCTAATTAGGATGACAGTCGACTAGAATGGCAGGAAATTTATCAACAACACAAACATCCAAAGGCAGATACATGAACAACAAAGAAAACAAAAATGATCCAAAAATGTTGGAAAAGGAGTTATGTCTGTTGTACAGCAGAAAAAAGCACTTGACCGCTACACAGCTAAAAATGTCTAATGTTTCAAAGAGGAGATGGTTAAGGCAGGGCTCAAAATACTGGTTATTTCATTCAAAAAGACACAAAATAGTCCAAACTTTTTTTTTTCTTTTCTTCCAGCGGGATGACTGCTAGTAAGAATTCACAAAAGAAGCAGCATCTCGGAGCGATTCCCATCTGATATTTGTAAAATAAACAGTCTGGCACCAATCATGCAAAAAGCCTTGTGGTGCCTGTGTTCCTAAAGACAAAAATCCATTACAAACCAAAGGGTTGTAGATGACCCCTCAGCGGAGGACACATGAGTCATTAGCTCATGGGTGTCTCTTCCACACAGCACCACTGATTTTTTTCAGATGGGGAGGAAATTTCAACCTTGACGCTTTCCAAAGCATTTTTTTACTATTGATTTTACTTGTAGAAAACACATTGGTTTTCCATGAGACGCCAAAATAAAATAGAAATAAATACTTGTTCCTCAGAAGGAGCCAAGTTTGTGGACACGAATGATAACAACCCAGGACCTAATGGCATTAAGGACAACGTCCTGTTCAGGGGAAAGGTTGGTGCTATTTGGAAAAGGGCTTGAACTGAAAATGCCATTAGGCAGGTGCAGAGAGGTGGAAGCAGTATTTCGAACCCTGTAAACATCAGACTATACAGTGACCAGTGTATGTACATTGCTTTCCAGAGCATTAAGTAAGTGTGTGTTAGTATCATCAGGAAAAGAGTCATCCGTCAGAGCTAAGGACCAGGACTTTTCAGAGAGAATATCTGACGTCAGAGACAGAGCCTCCATCTCAGCTAGAGGGATCTAAAGGGAGAGATGATTAAGCATAAGAAACCAGGACACAAAGCTTTTGGAAAAGATAAAAAAAAAAAAAGTATCATAATCTAAATACTTCTAGACACTAAAGCAATATCCCTGCAGTGGGAGAAGCTACATCATGCACATTGTTACCAAGGACAGAATGTTAAAGAAATGAAATATAACAAAGTAATGAAAAAAAGAGTGGGACATTCATATTTAAGTGCTTACCAATGATCTGGGAGGGAGTTTAAAATCATACACTAATGCTAGCATTGTATTTTGCTGTTCTCCTGTCTAGATGAAGAAGCAAAAGTAACATTACTTTCATACTAGAGATATTTATCCTCTTGGCTATGATCAAATACAAGGGGCTTCAAGATCTTCTGACGTCTCTGAAGTTGTCCCTACCCAACAACCATGCCATGTGCTTGGCCTCTAAGCTAATCTGGTCGAGTCCACAAAGATTCCCCAACACCAAAATCATCTTGCAGGTGGGGTATGGAGCGTGCCTCTCCCTGTGCGCTGAGGAGGGCATGGGGACCTCCCCCTCCCCAAGAGGCAGATGGGACTACAATGAACTTCCTAGTGGCTAAACGGGAACGGGAAGAAACTTAAGGTTTGATTTTAGTCAGCGAATGCACTCCAGGTGCCTTCAAGTCATTTTTGGCCTGCTAAAGAGCCTTCAGCGCCTGGGTAAGCACCAATAACTGTCTTATGAAAAGGACCTCCTGCGTCTTTCAGCCCCCAAATGGCACTCCAGCCCTGGCCCCAACAGCCTCCTCTGGCTCTGAGCAAACCTGAGCTGGGAATAGACGCTGCGCTGCCGCGCCGGCGCTGCACCTATGCGTCTTGCACTAACGTGTCCCCGCTGAAGGCATTCAAGAAACTGATAAAAATCTTTATCGAAATAGCGATGAAGCTGCCTTCCTAGACACAGAGCTCTTTCTATAAGAAATGTGAAACGTCACTCCAGGTTTTGGAGAGAAAGGGGACTGCAGCATCTCTCCCAGAGCAGCATCCCCGCTGCCAGGCACCACAAGGAAGGGTGTTTGCACCGAAGGGCAGGCTCAGCCCTCCCCAAATCCCCACCTGGGTACGTGTCTGAGGCTGGTGCCCACGGCACTGGAGACAGCATTTCATCAGGTAACCCACAGACCTGGCTCACGCTTGCAGGGGCCGTCTGGTCTGGACAAGTCCCAGGTGCTTCCTTTTCAGTTCTCACTGTGCAATTTTTTTTCCCTATCCTCTATGCTTGAAAAGTCTTTCAACAGCAACATATCTTCCAAGAGAAACCACAGGGGCCCAGATCTGTTGCATTTAAGTTGTCAAAGGGCTGGATTTTCTCAGTCTTAGAAATGGCATCAGTGGGGTAAAATAAACCCAGTGATGATTGAACCCTGAGAGGCTCAAAACTGCAGCTGAGATAAGTAAGAGGGTCAGGCTCCTCTCATCTAACCTCGGGTTTGATATCTCCTCTAACACAGTCATCCGCTGGCAACGGATGAGAGAGATGCTTCAGAGGAGCTCCTGATTTCATCCGAGGCTCCCCAAAAAAGCATCGCCACAAAGGCAGCCAGCACGGGGACAGGGATCCCTAACGGGGACCCACCGACCGCAGCCCAAGCGTGTGAGGAAAGGCTGTGCGAGAGCGTGGCGGACACCAGCAGCTCCTGCCTGATGGAGCTGCTCTGCTGGGAGCTGCTATTAATCAGGTTGCTTTCAGCAAGTCCCAGCGCTGCTCTAAATTCCTGACTTGCCTGAGAACATGACAAATGGTGTGAACAGGAAAGCCAAAATGTAAACAAAACATCACCCCCTCTTCAGCCTCCCCTCTCCTAAAATTGAGTTTGAAGCCGTCAAAACATTTTGTTGGAAACATTCAGCTGATTTATACGGGTTTTAATTACAGGGGGAAAAATAAAATAGCTTAAATATTAAAAGAAAAAGCCACTGCAAACTGGAATGCTATATTATTTCGTTACAAAAAATGTCAAAACAAAACGGGTTTTTTTGCTGCAGCAGCACTTTCTGGTGAAAAATGTTGTGACAAAAAATTTCCAACCAGCTCTCGATGAGTTTCACACTGACCCTCTGCCTTCCCCACCAAAGCTACCGTCTCTATTCCTCCAGCAGTTCTTAGAGGCAACCACTTCCTGCAGCTTAATAGACCTCAATCTGGAAAGTGATACGCAGCAATCAGAGGGAGACCTGTTATCCCGCTATATAAAGATCTGCAGTAGGATTTCATTTTACCTAAGCTTGTTCCTTTCCTCTAATGAACCACCGAGTTGGATAATTTAGAGTGTCAGTGAGCTCATAAATAAGCACACTGACTTAACAAGAAAACATCTGCTATTTTTAGCCGGAAAGGGAAAAAGAAATAGATCAAGAAATATGGAATTTACTCAGTTCCAACTGCAGGAAAAAATAGGTATGCTCGAATTATTATTATGGTCACTGCTGTGATTTAGGGAAAATATTTGCTCTAAAGAATAACATGCTTGAGAAAGTAGGTATTTTGTTCTAAGAAGTAAATGAACTAATTTTAAACAAGTATTACAGCCCCTGTTCGAGAAAGCACTGGAGCACACGATTACTTAAGTGCATCATTAAGGGCTGCCTCGCCTTCTAAACTCACTTTAGATCAGAGATGAGGATCTAGTTTACAATGACCCACTTGCAAGAAGCCTCTTTAGGAAAATAAGTCAAAACTGGATTTTCATGCAGTGTAAGCAGGCACAAAATACAGAGACCATTTAATGATGCCCACCAGCTCAGGGTCCGCTGTAGGAAAACCTCACACCGTACTCCAGGCTCTGCAGACGTGTCCTGACATTGCTACGGAGCCCTCGTCATGGTTAGGAGCAAGAAGCCAAATACAAGAACCCCACTGAAGGATGAAGACAGGATTTTGTACATTTTTCCCTTCAATGTTTGCGCACAGTAAATCCCAATGAAATACGTCGTACTGAGTTGAAGAGGGAAACTCAGAGCCTGTATTTTTCTCCTTGCATTGATATACAACATCATAAACCAAGATATTATCTCAACTCCCACAGAAAAAGCCAAAATTACTTATGTTTCAAAATCCCTGTGACTACATTACATAAAGTAAAGAACTTTAACGCTCTATTAAAGGTCTCAGGCAAATCGAGTTTGGATGGAGACTTTGCAGGAAATTAGGAATATTAACCTGGTTCTCAGAGTTGTAATATTCGGGAGCTGGGAGGGCATAATGATGGTACACAGAGCCTGACAGGTTGTCCATCAGCTTCAGCTCTCCTTCCAGAGATTCCTGGATCAGCAGTGATATGGTATCAAACAAGTGCCTTTCCTAGGAGGGGTGGTGTATAGCATGCAGAAAGAGAGAGCAAGCCAAAAAGAGAGAGGGAAAAAGCAAGGGACAGAGATAGAGAGAAAAAAGGACAGGGTATAAAACCCAACGAACAAAAGCAGAAAGAAACAGAATAGAAGGATGGGGAGGGACGGAAGTGTTCAGGGGGTGCAGCAGTGACAGAAACAACGGGACAGGAGAGGTGAGGCAGGAGAGGAGAGAGAACAGTGCAGTAATATCACGGTGAGCAGTAACAGCTTTCTCAGACCTTGCTAGTGACGGGGCCAACGCTGGCCGCCCTGGGACCGCGGTGCTCCTGCTCAGGGCCCTCCTCGGGGACAATCCTCGCTCTCAGCACACACGGCCGGTTACTCCTGGGATCTGAGCTGTATAATGGGGCTGGCGTAGCAGCATCTTGATACCTGGCGCTGTGAACTTCTACAGGACACTACTGCTGTAAGGTTTCTATACCCAGTGCCCACATTTCTGAGCAAGACCTAATATTTGACACCTAAATCCATATCCAGGGGTCACATAAATTAATGTAACCTGACTTGAATGGAAGCTGAGCAGCCTGTCCAGAAAGCTGCAGGTGACCAGGATGGACACGTCAGGTCACTAATTCACGTGCCAGACATGGGTTGAGGTGCCTCACTTGTCCTGGCTGACTTCAAATCAGCTGGCCACAGCACAGACAATTGGACATTATACAGAGCAGGGTCTGGCTTTCACAGGCAGCACGGGAGCAACTTAAGGGTTGCACCTTTCACGTAGGGAGTGTCTACTACGTACAATGAAATGAGGACCATCGTTACAGTCAAACAGCACACAGTGCAAAACTCCCGGGGAATAGGCAAGCAAAACCAGCATGCTGACCACATGTCCTTGCAGGGTCGTGTCCTGGGAATTGTATTCCTCTGCTATCATGCTCAAGCATCAGATTTTTCCGGAAGATTTTGGCTGGGAGAATAAATAGTCGGAATAAAATCTCCTGGATGTTTTTGAGGCTTCTGTTTGAGTGAAAGAGCAAGAAACACACTCTGGAGATTATGACTAGAGTAAGACCTTCCCAAAGCCACCTTCAGAGAGCACAAGTTTAAGGGACTGGAGAGCTGAGGGTATCCTTCCCACTGATTTGTCTTGCAATTTCTTTCTTTGCCAGTGTGAGGACTGATGCAGGACAACAGTGCTAAGGACAGTTTGCCAGTACTCTGCTTAACATGTACAACAACAGTTGGGACATGTTGTTTCTTCCTAGAGGAAGTAATAAGTCTGGATTTCCCCATATGGCCCTGAACTCCTTTTTCCTGTGCCAAAGAGCAGCTTTGGACTCCATCTCAGACATCAGTGACTCCTAATGGCACCAGAAATTTCCAGTAGCTTAAGAAATGAAACAAAGCTTAAGCAGGGATTTACTCTTTTTCACCCTTGGACTAAAGATCATAAATGAGTTTTTCATGCATTAGAATACTCATTAGTCCACCTCAGGCAGAAGCCAAGATATGCTGTTGTGAAATCATGATGTAATAAAAGCTAATGAGGTCTGTGTAGAGTTTAACCCAATTTGCAATCAGCTAAGACTAAAAAAAAAGTCTGGACTGTTTTTCTTGTATAATTCCAGTTCGGTTCCCTCCCAAAGGACCTGTCTGGGTCTTGACCTCACCTTTCTCATTCCTCAAACTGAGTCTTCATCCAGAAACTGTCCTTTAGAGAGACTTGTTGCAGCTCATAGCAGCTACCACATTACAGCCCTGCTCCGGCGGTGCTCTGGCTGGTGGAAGTTTTGCCACCAGTTCTGGTGAGCTCAGGTTTGAGCCCCCTCTGGATTATTCTATTGTTAAAATAATCTTTTCTTACAAGCTTGTCTGTGGGGATGGATTTTAAATTGAGGTTACATAAAACAAATTTAATACTTAAGCAAAGATTAGCCAAGTTTTATTCCTCTTTTATGTTGTGGTTCATGGGCTGCATTAGAAAAGCAAACACATTATGCTCATGATTTTGCTATCACAAAGGACCTAGCCCAAACTCTGGATTAGAGCAAATTGGGAGCTAGCTCTGAACTTGGTGGCTTGGGCACATCTCCAGAAAAAAATTGCAAAGCTCTCTACCTCTGAACAGATGCATCAAGGTGGTCTGGAGACCTGCCTAGGGTCTCTTCCCTGGAGCATTGGTTCCCACACCACGCAACAGTCAGTCAGCAGACAGCGAGGAATACAAGCCCTGGACGTACGGTACACCCACTCCTTCATTGCCAATTCGTGCATGTCTTCCCCTAGCAAAGATGCAGGTCAAGCCCTCTTCACCCTCCAACTGAGATTCTCACCATAGGGTAAACTAATGAGAGCTGAGAATCCACCTTGATTTGCGTGGGATTGGTACATCCTCGGGGGCTCTCGGGCCTCTCTCCACCGGCGCTGCCTGCCCATGCAAAGATGTCCGAGGGGCTGTGTTGGCCAGGGGTGATTGTCTTCATCTCCATCTCCAGTTCTGCTTCGAGCTCTGCCTCCTCCTTAGCCTCCTTGTTGCTCTCCTCCAAGTGCTTCATGAGCACAGCGATCACCACATTCACCAGGACAAACTGGGCTGTCAGCACGAAGGAGACGAAGTAGATGGGTGAAATGACGGTGTTGTAACAGGTGGACTCCTGGTCACAGTCTCGCAGCGTGTCCTGGAAACAGAGGGGGAAATGATGGAGGGATGTGAAGAGGTTCCAGCATGGACCTCGGTTGGCCGCCTGGTCATCTGGCTGCAATGAGTTCTCCTTTCATGAAGAAAACTGATAAGATCGGGCAAATTTCATGTCTAGAATGGCAAAATACTTGCCAGTAAAACCTTACATTTCTGTGTTAGTCGCCACAAGCAAGCTTAGAGGAAATTGCCCTTGGAGTGTGCAACAACAGGCACTGACACGCTGCTGCTCCTAAAGGAAAGGCTGTTTTACCAGGTCAGAGACTAAAGACACAAAGACTGTGGCAGATGGATCCAGGGCAAAGCAGGGTGCAGCTACAACCCATCAGATATCCCACAGCTGCTGGGCTTGCAGAGGCTCTTTCTGCAAGTTCACACCCTGTCATTAAGACTTCAGTCACCTAACACTCGCCCTGGGCTACAAATGGACAGAGAAGCAATTCCTTTGGACTAGCTAGCACCCTGTGTCTTCACAGACTGGATTGCTTCACAATAGCATGTCTTCTTCCTTCTTGGCTGTCCCCTAAGAAAGACTCTCTCTCAGAAACTTGGAGTTTCCCTGAAAAAAAAAACCCATGAAGTAATACCAACAACAGCAATAGGAACTGGAGACATTTAAGGAAATAAATAAACCTTATGCGTGTTACTGAGTTGAAGTCACATTTTACTTAAGAGATGAGTCCCTTTATTTCCTCCCCTTCTTTTTAAGTTGCTCTCCTAGGTTAAAAAAAGGGAATATAGGGAGTATGCCAGCAGCCTGCAACCACAGGCACTGCATTGTTGGGAGGAGGGAATAGAATGAGAGATCTTGCCCAGTGCAGAAATGAAGAGACCAGCTCACTGCAGGGTGCGAGTGTCCTGGCTGGGCATCATTACTGGTCTGGAGCAGTGTGGACAACTTCTAATTAAGCAGTTATAGACAACACTCATTTTCTGTGGATCACTTACCTTCATTATCCCATTCCAGTTGTCTCCCGTGGATACTCGGAAGAGAGTCAGAAAGGCCATCCCAAAGTTTCTGAAGGTGGCGTGCCGTCCCAGCCCCTCGCAGGGGTGCGTGTCGTCGCACTCTGCGGGACCAAGCACAGCCGTGAGACCCCCGCTCGCACACCACTCCCACCCCTTCCACCGGCACGGGAAGACTCACCAAGGTCTCCAAACAGCTCCACTCCAAGAGCTGCAAATATGAAAAACAACAACATGAAGAGAAGACCCAGATTCCCCACCTGGAAAGAGAAAAAGAAATGGGGGGGAAAAAAAAAAAAAACAACAAACAAAAAAAGAACATTCATTGATTTTTTTGTTCCAGACCTGTTTCTTGCTGTATTCTTTAATCCAAAACTTAAATTGCTTCAGGGGAAAAATGACCTCAATGTGAGGACTGTATCTCAGACTGTGCTTCGGAAGGGAAATGTGATTCTCTAATGACAGCAAAGATAAAATGATTAGCATTCCTCTGCAATAGGAAATTAGCTCTGGGCCAGAGGAGATCTGGTGTGATATGGCAGTGAGTTACCTGCGGCAGCGCTTGCATCACGGTGTCCAGCAGGGCTCTCATCCCTACAGCCATCTTCAGCAACTTCAACACTGCGGAAAACACGTTCGTAATACGGTAACGGCAGCATTAGCACGAGGCACAAACTCAATCCCTCTCCCAGGAGCCACAGATTATAGGAAGAGAGATGTGAAATCATGGCAAGTGTTCTCCATTAGCTGCTATAGTCCCTGGCCTTTTTGCATCGCTCCTGGTTGCTTGGATACTATCAAAATCCTGTGAACAGCAGCATCACCTATCCCGAGACTTGGGGAAAGCGTTATCGCTCTGCCTGGCTTTTCCTTTGCCCACTTTATCTGTGTTGGACCCATCTCCTTCTTCCTCTGGTTATCGTGAGCAGTTACTTTCCCAGCCCTGGGGCTACTTTCCCACTTCCATAGACTACCCACTTTCATACATGATTCACTGAGGAACTGATTTACACATCTCTTCCAGAAGGTTGCATTTCCAATTGGAAACTGCATGTATTTTTAATTCTGAAAGGGATCCAATGCACAGGAAAAAACGTTTCCCCCCCACCTTGAGACACAGCAGCATTTAATTTCTCCTCCAGTTCCTCCTTTGCTTAGATGGGGCTGCAATCAGAGCAATTATGTCTCAGAGCACAACATTGCCCTTCAGGAGGGCCTGGGAGTACTTTATTAAGGGCCTGAGCACTCACATTTTATGTCTTTATCATTTGGCCCTGAGACCTCCCTGTTCTGAAAAATCAGGCCCTGAAGAAGCTGGCTTCCCACCTCGGGTACGTGCTGTTACAAGTCTGAGGGGACAGATGGATGCAGAGTGACGAGGCATGCTTTGTCACCAAGTGGTGAGACGTAAAGTCCCACGGGAAATTAAATTTATTAGATGCTTGTCTTTTAAAGCCAACATACTCAAGCTTGTGTTCTCTAATCCCTGTTAGAGATGACTTTGATTTGACTGGCATAATTTTCCCAGGTATATCTCTGGGAGTTACAGCCACAGCTATTTCTCCTTTATTTCTAAGCTCACAGCCTTCAAGTCCTCTTAAGATAGAAACGCATGGTCAGTTGGCTCAGCTTTTTGGCTCCTCCCAAGTATTTTCCCCCATTGTTCTTTTATTTGTTTACAGCCCGTTGATGCCAGAGCTATGCACATCGTGATGGGGATGTGCCCCAGAACCATTTCCCAATGTTTAACTCTCTCCTGGGGGGGACCCTGCACGTCAAACACGAGCCAATTCTGCTTTATTTGTCTCACCTCGGGCAATCCTGAGAACCCTCATGATTCGGATAATAGTGGGGTTAATTGGTAGCGAAGCGTTCACCTCGATCTCTTCCAAAGTGATGCCCATGATAGATAGCAGCACGATTGCCAGATCTAATTGGTTCCATCTGGAGACAACACAAAATGAAGTTTAACATCCACTAAGAAGCTGGCAAGGGGAGGTTGCTTGTTTCACACGAATTCCAGTCATTTCAATGGTTCTAGCACTCAAATGGATCTGCAGCATTTTTCTGAGGGTATTATACAAAAGCAGTTATGTTATGAAATCATTATAACTAATGCATCTCATTAGAAAATCAGCCAGTTCCAAAGATATTCTTGACTGAGGGGAAACAGAAACAAAAGCTGGACAGTTTTCTACCCAGAGGCTGCAGACCTCAGGGGAGACACCGTGCTGTCTGTCCGGCCACTTCTAGACATGACACTTGCGGACCTCAGCATGAGATCTGCCCTAGAAAGAACCGGACCCTGCATCCAGTCCTTGCAACAAAAATCACACTGGGCAAAGGAAAGACCCCAAGGACTCATGCCGGGTCAGAGAGAGGCGTAATCCCAGCACAGACACCCCAAACATGGGGAGAGGGGTGGAACCAACCCCCATCTGCTGAAGGTAAAATCCTGCTCAGCACCAGTGCTCTTGGTATTAACACTGAAGGAGGCAAAAATGGGAGAAAGATTCACCAAGGACATAAATTCTGTATTTGTGAGGTAAGAGAGTGAAAAATCTAGAAAAAAGAAGCACTTTCATCTGCTGCTCCGCATCTGCATAAAAAGAGGTCCCTTTTCTCTTCCTTTTCCACTCAGAACCAGATTCTCACTCTTGGCACAAATTTTGTCACTTCACCAGGTCCTCTTGATTATACGGACACACAACTGGTGTGAGAAGAGAACCAACCACTCGCTGTGAGACTCGCTCCTATTTTGTCCACTCCCAAGGGCCAAAGTGGTGCAATCGCACTCCTTGGCATGCACGATTCTTTTTCCAACTCGCATCCTAAACCTCCACCTACCCAGGTTTCAAGCAGTAACACCAAAAAGCGTTCACACGTGTCAGACTGACACCACTGGGAAGAGCAGCGGGGTCCAGGACACCGAACTTGGGCAGCTGTCTCCAGAAACCTGCTGCTGCCCCCGCGGTCAAGTTTTTTGTTACCTGTCTTGGAAGAAGCGACGAAACCCAAAGGCGATAAGCTTGAAAACAGACTCCAGGACAAAGATAACAGTGAAGATATAATTGCAAATCTTCAGGGCTTCATCAAGAACCTGGGATTTGGACACAGGACCAGGGTTAGATGCTAGCTCTGCTGAGGGGCTTTGCTGCCTGCAAACCTGCCCTCCTCTTCCTTCACCAGCTACTCATTTCCAAACCAGATATAAAAGGCTCCAACTGTGGGCTCTCTCTGACGACAAATGTCCAGGGAAAAGTCCCAGTACTTCAGGGAGTGCACAGACTGCATTTCTGCCTGGCCCCACCCCAGCTGATATAATTCACAGGAGGGGCTGACACACACCCAAGGCACAACTCAAACCCCACGGCAGTAACACAGCCCCAGCTGGGATCGCCTGGGCGAGCGGTAAGAGCTGCTGCATTTGCAGGTGTCGGCAGCGCAAAACCCCTCGTGCTTTCAGCAGAAAGCTGAATTTCATCCCACTTGCTCGTTTGTGCACTGCTGCAAGAGCTGTGGGCTGGCCAGGTCCATGCAAGCGCTGGCCAAATGGCTTCTTTGTGACAGCCTGTCATTTACTCCTCACCTTGAGCTTTTGGCACGGAGGAGGGAAGAGGAATGGCACGCCAGCAGGAGCGAGCGCCTCGAGTTTCCCCCTGCCCACCCTTCCCTCTGCAGAAGTTACAGCCTGGCCATTAACTACAGGTGCCTCCTGGCTGGCACAACTCTTGCACAGTCAGGCATCAAGTCATGTCAGAGGTGATTTCATCACACAAAAGTCCTGCTCGTGAAGGAGCACTGTGGTAGCAGCATCCTGCATGGCTTCTTAAGTAATGCGCATTGAATTTGTCACGGCTGGCAATGAGGGTGGTAATGACTGTCCAGGGCACTGTTAGGGAACGTGGGAGTTGGCAACAGAGTGCTTTCAGACCAAAACCCAGACTTGCTGATCCCCAAGCGGGAGAAATCATTGTAGAAGGGGTTTAAGGCACGCACTCTGCCTTCACGCTACACTCTAGCTTCAAGCATCCGCGGACAAAAACCCCCTCACCTGCCCAAGAAGTACAAGCCCAGCCGCCAGAGGAAGCCACGGCTCTGAACGAGCCTCCCTGTCATGCTGCAGGGGACCTGAGCTCTGCCAGCAAACGAGCATCTTTATTTGGCACGAGCAGATTTTGCCCAATAGCTCTTTGCTTGAACCACCTCTATGCACAACTGCAGCCCCTCCTCTCTAGGGGCAGCCGCAGCATCGCCGGCTTGGATCTCATCCACAAGGCATCCCACGGTATCCCACCACCAACCCCTTTCAGCACCAACACACCAAGCCGTCGCTAGCTTGGATATAAAGCTCTCTGGTACATTTAGTCTTTTAAATATCTGCAGGATCCCAGCCATCACTCACCCAGACCCTGGGGCCCTGATTCAGCAAGACTCTCAAGCATGTGCATGGCTCTAACCGTGCTGTCATCTCAGCACAGCCCAAGCTTGGAGTTATTACCCAGATGCTGCATACCAGAGGCTTAGAGACAAAACGTTATTTTCCTAAAGAAAATTAAAAACAAAAGCCTGCCCAACATTTTTATAATACAAGAGAAAATGTAGCTACAAAACTACTGCGGTAAGACGCGTGCCCTAGAGCGATTCCAATACAGGCTCCTTAGCCAACAACCTTTTTCATCACCAAATGACTGAATCATGCAAGGAGCCTTCCAGGGTATTTAAAGGTGACTTGAACAGAAAAAATAAACTGGGCTTGTGCCCTTTCACTTTTTGGCTTCCTTATGATAGGCTGGAGGATATTTTCCCCCTCGTTTACATGTCTTAGTTGTTTGGGTGTTTTTTTACATTAAGTATTCAAGTCCTGTCTAGTCTTAAAGGATATTTCCTCCTATTGTGTGTTATATTTATTCATTCTGAAAGTGCCTAATAAAAATAAGTACAAGTTATATGGCAAAGGCAGCTATTTCCATTTCATTCTTACGCACAAGAGACTTGACATCCCAGGACAGGCTGTTTTTATTTTCAGAGTATGACAAAGACCCAGGAACTTAGCACACTAATATATTAAAATGTATTTTAAAGAGCAGCATGGAACCAGTGCCTGTGAAAATTGGGCCCTATGGGACATTGGGGATTTAGAAGAAACTTTGCAAAAAGAAACATTGCACAAATTCTTTTATTCTTTTTCCTTTTTCTCCTTTTTTTTAGTGGAAAACCTAAGTCAAACGGAAGATTTCGATGATGACCTCATCTAGCAGACCAAACCAACCTGCTCCCGTCCTCATTTCCAAAGCAGTCCGTTTGCACTTAACTAGAAGGGAGAGGTGCCAGGGGATCCAGGCACAGAAAGCCACGGTTTGAGCTGGAAGGCAGCTGTAGGATGGGTACGCTCCACGGGGCAAAGGGACAGGTCGAGAATGGGGAATGGGGACCCCAAGGTCTAACAGCAAAATTGGCCTTAACTCTGCCCACCAGCACAACCCCCCACGGCTGAGCATATCCCCCTCCTGCTTTTCCCCCTCTCTGCCCCAGTACCTTTGGCTGCTGGTAGTGCTCCATGGCCATGGTGATCACATTGAGGCCGATCACGCCGGTGATGAACAAATCCAGGTAGTGGCTGGTGCACATCTGGTGGATCAGGAGGCGGAAGCGGGAGTAATCCGAATAGTAGGGCTTACACTGTGCTTCTGCAGCGGGGAGGGGGAGAGCGGAGAGGCACGTCAAGTCATTTCTCTGCATCTTTCCGAAGTTAATGCACCCTCAATTTCCAGCTCCAAAGATGGTAAATTCTAGACTGATTACAGCAACATGCTGTCTTTTTTATTTCCTTTTTTCTTGCTGGCATGTTACCATTTTTAATATACAGCAGGGCTCCCGTCATCTTACATCCATTAAACATCTTCCGTGGGACATGCACTATACTCAGCCTTATGGCATCAGGGATGAGGTGAGCTGGGATTATTGCGCTGCTAAAGAATGTTTTCCCTGTATGGAAATTTAAATTAAATTTAAATGAAACCAACAATTTTTGTTTCTGCTGATCGTAAAAGTCTCCCAAAGTATCTGAAAACCCAGTTAATGGTCAGATGTCGGGGACAGATTTTACTAACGATGGCTTAAAAATACAGGCCATTGAGTTAGCGGTGGTCTTTGAAAGAGAAGTAATTCAGACATACTATGTTCTTTGCAATAAACTGTAAAAAGAACAAAATTCAACACTTTGGCTATCAGAGCCCTGAAAAATGGTCCATAAAAATACCAAGGAAAACTGCTCAGTCAGCTTTAGCGATTAGAAAATAATGATCCTCCATTTAGACAAGATTATCAAAGTACAGATTTCACTCATTCCCGTGTTCGGCTGCCTCAGGGATGACACACGCTCTTTAGACCCTGAATGTTCCTACAGATAAACTCATTTACTCACCTAATCTCTAATGAGGAAATGCCAAGGCTGAGTATATAATTCAGTACAATTTTCAAGGAGGCATTATAATGCAGATTGAAGTGGAAAGGACTGTCTTGAATATGTCAGAGTATAATATTACTCTCGTAATTAGATGATCAACTGGTTATGAAAATTATTGAGCTGTAAGAATTACATGGCTTGATATTTAGTGCTGCTGAGCAAATGTAGAGTTTGATACATTATTCTGGGCAAAAAGTTGGGCAGAATGAAGCCATGAAGCACAGGTTTGGGTTGCCCTCAGGGAAAATTAATTTTAGAAGATTAAATTCTGCCTGGAAATAGAATTCGCTTTGTCAATAGCCAATGACATTGCAACCAAGCCCATAGATTTAATGGTTTCATGTGCTCCTTGCTTCATAACAGAATTCGGAAAAATCAGTGAAGTTTTGGGTTTTGCCTAGAGACAGACCTTTCCCTTACAGCCCAGGGACCAGAGAGGCAAATCACTCAGTTTTATTCTGTAGCAGTTTGGAATGCCCAAGATTCTGTTTCAGTGTCATCAAATGAAAGGCAGTATTAATATTCACTTTCTGATCTGCAGTGTGCTTTAGGTGATCTGTACCTGAGTGCTAAAGCATGCTATCGATGAAAAGGTCTATAAAATGAATTTTCATGCTGAATCTATTGAGTGCTTACAAAAAAGCAGACTGGTAGCTGCTGACTCATTCATAAGACTCTGTCAGATATCTCAGAATCTGCATAAATCTCCATAAAGTCAAGATATCTCGATCACATTATGCTAAATTATGAGTAGCAAATTAACTAAAATGTTTGAATACAATTAGGTTAGGAATAGGGCCTATTTTTATGAACCAACTTATCACCTCAGAAAGAAACACCAGCGTAACTGGATCACTTACTACTTCTACATTTATGTATAATTCACATTCAAACAGAAAAATATCGATGTTTCTGCCTTTCCTTGCAGTGGATTTACTTATGAATAATTACACTGGAATTCAAATTTTTTCTTAGCCTTGATTGACAGGTAATTCCAAATCCTACAGAATAGCACTGACACCGTTAGAACTGAGAGAGGATTTAGAGAGAGGTTGTAAAACGTCTCCTGTGCAGGGCTCCTGCACCTGGATTAGCCAGTGCATGACCTTATAAGCAGGGTTGCTAATTGTTCATATATCTGCAAAGGCTTCTCCCCCTTCGCACCCCCCCTCTCCCAAACCCCAAAGCTCCTTTTCACCTTTCCCACCACACGCCCCCCCGGTTTCCACAGCCAAACGTCTCCGAATGCTGCTCTCGCAGACCTCCCTTGCAGCCTTAGAAAATTACCAGTAGTAAATGTTCCATCCTTCCCCGTTAACTTTGTTGAGAGGGGATTTGTCAACCCTGTTTATGAATCACGCCGCCACTCGCTCCACCGGTCTCCGCATGCCAGCCATGCGTATTAGTGCAATACAGATATTACCGCGAGATGAACCACACACAAGCCAGCATGCTGTCCGAGGACTATAGATAAAGACCTACTGTGTCTAGGTGGGCAGGGAACTTTCTGAACAGATAAACCATTTTCTTGCTATTGTATAAAATACCATTTGTCTAACCCAGCCTGCACAGTTCTGCAGAGAAGTCGGATGTTGCTCGTGTGGAGTCGTCCAGGTGCGAAGCCCGTGCCCCCTATCACACAGTATCATTTCTAATTATTGCAGTAAAAATCTAAACAATACCAACATCTTGGGAAATACAGACATCTGTTAAATTCCAGGTGGTGAACTTCACAACTAACACAACACCACATTACTGTACTGTTACAATACACTGTGTCAAGAACAACAAGAGCTCTGGGTTAGTCTTGGTTATTACTAGAGAGGTTAACTTGGCTTCCCGGCACACATAGCATTAAAGAAAAGAGAAGAGCAAACGAACAAAAGAAGAATTGGCAGAATGAGAATGTGAGAAGATGGGGAAATACAGCAAAAGCCCACTACGAGACATCAGGCTGGAAAACAGGGTGTAAATCAAGCTGCTTCACTGTGGCTGGAGGCCAGGAGCGGAGGAGAGGGCGAAGTGACTCAAATTTAGACATAGTTGCGCTGGAGAAAATCAGCTCAGACAGCGGAGCCTGAGCAATCCCTCCTAACCCAGGTAGGAAGGAGCTTTTGCAGCTGGCTGAGAGCTGGTTTGGGAGAGTCCTGCCTGCCCCTTCACCTGGGGTGATGGTGGGCTAAGGGGATCACACCAGCAAGGGGCGTGGGTGCCTGGCAGGGGGGGAACACTCTGCCTTAGCTTATCATTTTTATGGGCTCTCAACTCCAGTTGTTCCCCAAGGAGACGTTCTGTGCTCTTCTTGACATCATCCCATGGGATTATGACTGATTCCCTTTCCAAGGGCTGGGAGGCAGAGCACAGCAGCCCCAGCCTCTGTCTTGGGGTACCCAAACTCATCGCTGTCCCCTCCTGCCCTTTCAGAAAGGCGGTGACCGTTGCTGTTGCAGGGTAAACATTTCCCATTCCTAAGCCTGGTCCAGCTTTTCCCTTCGGCCTTGGTGGTCACAGCCCGGGTTTGGGACATCCAGCCCTGTGCTGCTGGTTTTCTGACAGCCCTAGGGCATGACCTGTGAACCAGCACAGTGACCGGCAAAGCAGCGCTGGAGCACCCCCGTTTTCTGCCGGACAGTGCCACTGCCAGCTCCCAGAGGGTCCCAGGGCTCGGCCCGTCTCTGCTGGCACCACGGGAGGTGGGGATGGGGCCACTGTCTTCCCATTAACTGCATTTTCTGGGGGGGGAATTGGGCTGGGCATGCAGCTCCAAAATATCTCCGAATAGCGGCTGCCTCTGAACATAGCCCTGTCAAGAGAGAAATTGCCACTTTCCCTGAGGTGACTTTCGAGCCGGAGGTGTGTGGGCACGGGAAATTGGAATTCATGAGAGTGGGACAATTCCATTACTGTCTCCTCCAGCTTCTTCCTTCTCCTATAATAAGGGAATTAACTACTTTGCAGGTCTGAGTATATCTGGAGGACAGCGGCAAACCAGTGAGCGACGAGCCCGTGATGCAGCTGGATTTACAAACTGTATCAAGAATATTATTAGGTTAAAAAGTAGTTTGCACTGAAGGAACTTTTTTTATTTAAACACAGCATTTTACTTGGCTTTTATTGTACTGAATGGATTTATTAAAAAAAGAAAAAAAAAGCAAAATGGAAAATGATAAATTATTTCCACTAAGAAGATTCCAGTTGTGATAGAATGTAGACTAGGAAAAATAAAAGGGAAAAAATAAAATTACAATATCTCACTAAGCACTTATTAGCAGCACACACACACACACACACACACACACACTACTCCATCTTATCTTCACAAAAAGAGAAAAGCAGCCCTCTGTGAGTGCAGAGATGTATGGAAGTTTTGGGGTCACAACTCCAGATTTCTCATTGAACCACAGGAGGTTCATCTACAGCACCTGGGACTGATTCCCTTATATCCCCCACAGGGAGGTTCAGAAAGAAAACCCTTCTATTCCCTCACGTTGGTGCCTGAAGAGCAGCATGGCACATTCGCTACCACCGGAGCCAAAGGAAGGACAACAAAAGGAGCACAAAGCACAGACCTGACAATCGCACACTTTTTAAAGGCAAACTAAGAGTCTTTCTGAGCCTGCGTGGGATAACGGAGGGGTTTGGAATGAGTTCAGTGCCTTAAAAATAAAATAAAATAAAATAAACCAGCCTTGATGTAGCTCTGGAGGACCAGGAGAGGAATCACAACCAAACAAAAAGAAGAAAAAATAAACAGACTCCCAAACCCTCCCAAACTCCCAAACAGACACCCCCTCCTGGTGCTGCTCCCATTTCACAGGAGAGGGCAGGAGGCCTACCTAGAAGAGCAAGAACGAAGGCAAAGAAATAAAAAAAAAAAACCCCACCAAAACCCCAGGAATGGCAATGGGAAGGAGATTCAGGATTTATTAAAGCATGCTGTGATAACTTCCAACAGGGCCTTAGAAATATAAGGTAGGAACCTCTGTCTCCCTGAGCTCTCCTCTGCAGTGAAAGCCGACAGCCCTCACCTTGCAATTTTTATTTAATCAGAGCTCGCTGCAATACGTGAGAGATGGATGGAGCCCTGCTCCCATCTCAAGCAGTGGGAGCTTGTTCACAGGTGAGAGTTTTAATGGCACAATTTTCCTAACGTATTATTTCTGTCGAAAATTACAGCTATATTTGTTTCTATGTTGGTGCCTCTTTAATTATTCAGGCTAATATTCTTAAGTTATGAATTAAACAAAACGCTTGCCAGATCAAAGCTTCTGCTAAAAATAAAAAGAGCAAGGGACAGATTTGCAGCCCTGAGCATCGTCGTAGCGAGGGGGACGTGAGCAGGAGATGTGAGCGAGTGGTGGGTTGGCGTAGCCAGGTCAAACCCCAGCAGTGTTCAGCCCAGCTGGTCTGTCCCCACCAGGACCTGGAAAGGCTTTGAGGTGGCATCTTTATTTCTTTTAATTCCCAAGATGCCTCATGAATCGAGCGACTCTCAATCAATAGGAAGAATTTACAAACTGGGCAGCACAACAGCTAGATCCTGTGTCGTGCTGAGGGCTGGTGTGGGATTGTTCTCTCTGCTAAAGCACCGAGGCTCTGCACCACGCTGAATTTTACCCGGCTGAAAAAATACTGTGCCTCCCTGAACCACAGCATTTGTGAAGCAATGAGCAAGGGCTGGAGAAATACGAAATAACCTCCCGAAGTGAGACTGCCCGCCTTCCACAGACACTCCTGCAAATTATTCAGACTCCTAAGTTGGTGATTGGAAAGCTAAAGTAAACAATAAAGGTCCCATTTCACAGTCCAGTCATTATTCTCTAAGAAGAAGAAAAAAAAAGGAAAAAAAAAAAAAAAAGGAAAAGAAAAAAAAAGCCATGAAAAGTCTGACAGCGTCTTAATGAAAACCAGAAAAAAAAAATACTGAAGAACATAACATGATCAAGGGGTAAATTAAGGGTTTGCAAGTGTCAGTCCTGAGCCAGGTCTGCAGACCTGCGGTTCAGAATGATATGCGTGTGCCATGAAGTAAGCAAACGAGCTTTGCACCACACACACGGTTTAGTGGGATGCCTCACAGCAGCGGTGGCCAGCCGTTAGTGACACAGCACTGCCATTCAAGTGGGACGAGACGTGCCGACTTCCCAGTACCTTGCACTGCACTGGCTGAGCTCTCCATTAATACATCATCCAGCATTAGATCTAAAAGAACGAAACGGCATTAATCACCCGGCAGGACACACGGCAAGACTTCCCTTCCCCTTCAGAGGTCCCTACGGCTCTCAGGCTCTCCGTTGCTTCTACTGGGACTGTTTCCTTGTGGGATCCTCTCCTCGTGCCTCATGAAGCGTGGGCTCAGATACACAGGCTCTTGTGCTTCTCTCGTACACAGGTGGAAGCCCAAGAGATCCCAGGGAACCCCCTCGCTTGACGACGATGAAGGAGAAGATGCTTCTGAAGGACAGACTTTGTACGTATCCTGCTGGGCCAGAGCACCTTACAGCGACCACTCCTGCATCTGCCTACATCTCACCAAGCTGGGATTCACACACTTTTCTGGTTTTCAGATGTTCGACTGGGTAAATGTATTTGAAGAGTCTATGATCAAAAATGACTCTGCAACCAGTTCAATGTCTACATCTGCCTACGTCTGACATCCACAGGTCGGTTGGGGCATTTGGGGACACTCAGGAAGCCCAGCTGAGAGGAACCCCCATGCAGTTGCTAGCATAATCTAAGCCTCAGTCTTGGTATCATCTGCAAGTTCCCACCATGTAGAATGAAGCTAAGCAATGACATCTGTTGCCTCCGAGGGCAAAGCTGGACACGGTCAATTAAAACCAACGTTTCACTGAACGCGAATTGGGAAAACTGTTCTGAAGCAATTTGGAGGGCTTCATACTTTGCTCTTGAAAGGTTTTTATGGCGATTGAATACTCAGCAATATTTGATCCTCAGTAAAATAGCTGTTTATTGCCTCTTTAATTAGGCATTTCATAGGGCTGAATGAATAACTACATCTCCAAGGATGGTTTGTGATTCCTTCCCGCTGGGAAATTGCCCAGACTTACGTCTTTTCTTCATCTAGTTCCTCTAGCATTATAAATAAGGTCATTAATAATAACTAAACATCTATTTTTCTTCTACAGAAATCTCTGCTTTCCAAAACTGCAACTTTAAATAGGGATCTTTCCATCCAGCCTTTAAAAACATTTTCTATCTAATCAGCCTGGAACTGTGTTTAGGAACTTGGACTGCCCGAAAGAGCTTTCTAGGCATTTCCTTGATGTGAAACACAAAACAAAAATTCTCTCCATCTGTACCCCACTTAACTGAGAACAGTCTAATGTGTCCTTCACCGTTCTTGAGGGAAGCCTCCATCTTTCCACTGACCATCGAGGAAGACAGGCTCTCAGCATAAACCAAAGTTTGATGTCCAGAGGCTGGTGTGACACATCCCATTGGTTACAAAACCTGTGAAGCTCACGGGACTTAAAGATGTGACCAAAGCAAAGTGCTGCATAAGTGCTGAACTGAGAGAGGCTGAGACACCATTGAGGTACATGATCGCACAATTAAGCTTGTCACAGCTATTAAACACCTCTTAGACTATTAAAAAATAAAACAAACCAGACTTAATATTACCAGCTTTTGGAACAAGCGCCTGATCAGACAGCCTTTTAAACAGTACTGAAGTCTGTCAAAGATAGAGAAGAGATGTGAAAGGGGACACAGAAAGAGCAGCAGGCAGACTGTCCAGGGAGGGAAAGCGTGAGGCCATGGACACAAAGGGCAACGGAGAAAGTTCGGTCAGAAGAGAAAGCATGCGAGAAGAAGAGTACCTCTGACCTGTGGCCTCTGACTGACTTAATTCTTACTTATTCAAGCAAATTAAAAGAAAAAAAAGACTAAAAGACAAATGTCAGGTTGGAGATTTTTGCAGAGTGGAGGTCTAGCCTCCTTTCACCTGTAAAGCCTTCTCTAGGCAGGGCTGCAAGCTTGGGCATCTAGTTTGTAGCTTGGTTCAATTTGCACCAGTGCTATTTTGTCTAGTTAGTTACTCTCCTCAACTGCCTTTTTTTTTTTTTCTCTAATCTGTATTTCTCAAGCAAATGCATTGATATGTTTCTCTAAGGAGTTTTTAAGCATTACTAGAACGAGATGGCTCCATTATTTTATTACACTCTTGAATAGCAGTGGTGCTACTGTGCCAATAAATAAACCTGCTTGATAAATGGGACAGGTAACATCACTGTGGCATTACAAGGCTGTAATAAACCAAATAGTGAATCCAGTTATCAGCAACAGTGCTCATGACTCAGAAGATTTATGGTGCCATCCGGCACTGCTGATCTTTGCAGTTGTCACTATTTGTGTAACACTGAGCTCTGCTATCCAAGAAGCTCCAGGTCTGATTATTATTGTATTTTAATTTAAATAACCTCCAATGGAAAGGTCATTGCAAATCATGCAGCCATTAAAAAGGCTTCCATGGCTCCTTGCTCAGCCTAAAACGACACTATTTCCTTCATGCAAATTTTATAGCTGGACATGCTTTTGGGAGAAGAATGATCACCAGACGCGAGGCAGGAAGGGGAGGGAGGAGGGGATTGTGTGGAAGGTCAAGCAGGACTCAGAAAGATGTGGAAAGACTACCGACCAGCCATCTGTTTCTCCTTACTCCTTCTCTTTTTCTCCAGCCGGCGAAGCCTCTTCTCCTCCCGCCTCTTGGCTTCTTCCTCCTCCTGGTGCTGCCGACACTTGTGGAAATTCTCCACCACCACCCCCACGAACATGTTGAGGACGAAGAAGGCCAGGAAGGAGATGAAGTAGAGGAGCATCCATGGGTTGTAGTTCATGACTGGCTGCAAAGTGTAGGAAGGCAAGTATCAACTGAACCTCAAAAAATAAAGAATAAAAATGGGAGCAAACTGATAGTGCTGCTCCCTCCACGAAACCTGTAGGTGTCCCTTTGAGGCAGCTCAGTGTGGTCTGCTCTTCCTGAAAATTAGAGCCCTCTGAGACATCTTAACTGAATGCTCCCAAAACACCAAGTACGTTGAGGACAGAAGAACCACCTCTGTTCTGCCAACAGCAGGACAGTAGCATCCTTTGCAGCTATTGTAGTCCCTCACTGAAAACCTGTACCTACACAAAGCACTTCTTTTCTCCTGAAATGTCCAAATTGCTAAAAAAGTCAAACAATTCTTCAACAGGTGCAGGTCTCCTAATGCTAGTTACACCAGTCATGCTGCAAAACCTGTACAGAAAAGGCTAGGTCTGCATCCAGACTTCACACTGGACTCCTTGTCACAGCCCAGGGTTAAACACCTGCCTTGGTCCTAACCCCATAACCCCATTTGGCTGTGGAAGCCAACAGTACTTTGCAAAACAAAAGCCAAAATGTTCGACCTTTGACAGCTCATTTCTCGCAGCTCTGCTAGGGCACGTACCTGCTGGTCAACTCCCACAGCATCTAAGCCATCATACATGATATCCACCCACCCGTCCTTGGAGGCCAGAACAAAGAGAGACATCAGGGCCTAGAAACACATGGGGGAAAAAGTTAGACCTGGTTGCACTAAAGCTCTTTTACTTCTAACATTTTACTCCTCTGTGCCCTTTCCTGTCTGAGGCTTATCATTACCTGTCTGATAATGGGACACTTTGATGCTGAAGGTTTTTCCTGGCAGCAAAAACCTATCAATGCCAGAGTCTGGTTCAGCAATGAGTTCTAATACAGAAACCACAAAGCCGAAGACAAAAGCAGCTTCATTTCCACCCTCCATGTCTCCACTGCTCCTGACTAATTAGTCCTTACCACGCTGCTAAAATAAGGTTCTGTTGCAGAGATGGTTGAAAGTGTCCGGCTCTATTAGACAAGGCCTTCTGCAAGATATATTTGGTTTGTTATGTAGCAGTGAAGCAATTAAGTGCTCCACGAAGCCGCATGTGCTTGTTCTGTTCTGAAAAGAAGTGTATGCCTGCTTGGAAACACTACCTTTGGGATTTACAGAGACAGAATGCTGTGTATGTGAACTGAATATTTACTGCGACTGCCACTGCCCTGTAAGAAAATCCCACGGGATAACAATGCACAGGTTTTAAGTCAAGGAGGTAAAGGAGCAAAGAAGCAGATTACCATTCTATTAATACCTGGCCGAGATTATCAAAATTATACTTGTGCCGGACCCATTTGTAGCTTGCTTCCGTACAATCCGATTTATTTGTGATGTTTCTGGTGTCCTCCCCCTGGCAGACAAAAAACTTGCCTTTGAACAGCTGCAAAAACACGCAAAGAAGAGAGGAAGGGTAAGGGTTCGGTCCGCAGGATTTCTCTGCAGATGATGGGCATTTCTCCTGGGGCGCTCTGCACAGCCCACGCCGACCAGAGAAGTTAAGGCAAACGGCCTCGTTCGTGCAGGTTATTAAGTGCGAGGAGCCTGTATAATATGCACCTAATGAGCAAACGCATGATTTCACATCGTTTAGGACACCCACCTCGTGCATTAGGATGTCTGCTTCAGTGATCTGAGACTGGCCTAAAGGCCTTTGCTTCTGGGTCACCAGCTCAAGTGTAGCCCCACCTAATAGCCCAGACCAGCTAATGGCTTCTCACCACACGTGGAACGACGCCGGCGACTCTCAGCCCAGTTAACGATGCTGGTTTCAAGAGTCACCAACAAATTAGAGCGTAACGGGGGCCCTCTGTCAGCAGAGAAAATGTGGCACTGAAGAGGTGCAGTGATGGACTAAGATCTGCTCTTACAGGTCACCAGGGGACAGGTCAGAGAGGAGCTGAGCTGCTGCGAGTGACATTGGGCTCTCGCTGAATCAAGACTGCTGTCAGTCCAGCTCCGGTCTCTCACCCCGAATGCTGTTCTCCAGCCATCATTAGGCTCTGCAGTCCGTGCAGGGGTCTCCTTGTGCAAAGTTTAAGGAGCCAAGCCCAGCTAGTGCTGGGTCCCTGATCCTGAGCTTACTTCCTTTGGTGTAAGCCAGGAGAGACGCAACTCCTGGGGAGTCACCTCCTGATTTACACCTGCATGAGGAATGTGAGCCTCCACGTGCTTAATTCTAGACCTGGTGCTTCCTGCGCGCAGAAGAGAGAGTGGCAGGGGATGATTACAGCTTCAGACAGGGTGATTGATGCCAGCAGGATGGATGGTATCAATGCCTGGGAGACATCCAACAAATCTGGTTTTATTTGCTGACAGAAGCTATTGACATTACTGTTTTTGGGGAAAATGGCAACCTGCTCTCCAGGCTCCTTAAAACACCACCTGGGTATACAGAGAAAAGACACTGATGGGTTTTGATCTGTTGTTCTAGACAAATATCAGTAGAAACAATAGCGAACACAATAAACCCACGCGTTACTCCATGGGTTTCCTTCAGAAATCAACAGCAGAAGGATGTTCTCTAGGCATGTAAAATTAATCACCACTCAACGCAGTCATAAAACTTCTGGATGCAAGAAGAGAAGTATTCCCTGATCTTTCCATGGAGAAACACTATCCGTGGATAAGGCAGACTGGGGAGATATAGCCTTCACAGAGAGAAGTTTTAATTAAGCAGCAAGGTAAACAACTTTTTTTAATATATTGTCTATAAATATAACTTCTGCAGGAGCTGGACTGCAATGCCACTCAGATGGGAGCAGTAACGCAGCTACTAACGGGGCTTGGAAATGCAAAACCCTATTTGCAAAAATGCTGATCCCTGTCAGTGCTTCCAAAAGTGAAAGACCCAGTGTTTCCTGCTGTACTTGTTCTATCTATTTCTTTCTTGTGTCTTATTAATGACTTTTCACGTGTGGGCAAGGTCTACACCAAAAACAGCCTCACTAAGAGGAAAGACCATCAGAAAGGTGGACATCTGGATTTTAACAGCATTAAAAACCTCTAGTTTGAGCCCCAGTTTATATTTACAGGGGAAAACCGACTGCAACTTTCAGAGATCATCTTTTTATAGAAAATAGCTATGGCCCTCATCTTACACCTAATTAGACACAAATATTAACTGAGAATTTTGCATCCTGAATACAGAATCAGTCTTGCTTGTACCTACCACTTAAGCGCATCAATAGTCATGACAATTTAACGTAAGACTGCAAGTCACTAGGGAAAGCAATCACAATTAGTAGGGAGGAAATTCCAAGAGCATACTGCAAGTTTTGTTGTTTGGCATAAATGTTCCCGTGTCTGAGTTTTATATTGTTTTACGGGATATGCTTAAGTTTTATGAATTTGTTTAGTATAATGGATGGATGTTGTTGTACTGTAATGCTAAGCCAATCTAGCTGCTGAGGTGGTTATGGATGGCATGATTTTCTTCTCTGTTTATTTTCAAAGCTGTATTTATTATTTAAACAGTATATTAGTATAAAATATTACATAAGACACCTTTCCAAAACAAAGCCAAACAGAGCTGCTTTCCAAAACTGGCTGTGACAGATCAGATAAACTTCAGCAAGAAGTAAAGTGTTATGTTAGAATATTTATATGAAACAAACTCTTTTCCCCAGGTAATAAGAAACCAATTGCATTGGAAACTCTGCCACTTTTCCTCCAGGTTCCTGCACTCTTGGGTCTGAGGATATTGCCAGCAGAGCTGGCAGGAAGCAGACTCAGAAATCACTATTTCTGCAAGCTTTCAGTTATACAAACTGTCAGAATCTGAATGAATCTCCAGGTGAAGCTCTCTCTGGAGTTTACAAACCAACAATTTCAGCTTTGAGAGCTTCTATTTCACCGTTAAGAAGAAGGTAGAGGGGAGATGTCCCCATGTTATTTCCCACACGGAACAGGAATGGGATTTAACAGGTTCCCTGAGCAGAGTTTTTCTGGTGGTACATGTCATGCCTCAGGCCCGACCCTTCTGTGGTGTGGCTGGGGGAAGAAAGTGGAGAAATATTTTGATTCACGTCCCGCTGCAGGCAGAACAGAAGTCCTTGTGGTGGGGAAGGGATGAAGAAAGCCCATTCTGTGCCTCTGAGGGGGTCATCATGTTGGCTTTTGTATCACTGCATGCAACAGGGAAGCTTCAAGAAAGTTCAACACGTCAAGAGACACATAGCCAAGACTTGGACGTCAGGAATAACTGTGTTTTGAGAGCACTAGAAAGGCCATGCTGTGCTGCTGGGGTGGGGACTGAGAGCCACGTAAGCCCTTGGGTCCGAGTCATTCAGACTGTTAACTAGAGCAAAGTTACGGATCCAAAACCAACACATGTTTCTAGAGCGGGGCAGAGGACCTCGGTGGAATCCGAGAGAGGCAAAACCAACCCCTAAACGACTGACTGGCTCTAACCATTGCTCCTTCAGCTATGGCTAGGGATGCATGTTGCTGGGCCACTGTTGTTAGGCTGTAATTGTTAATGAGGTTTTAATGGCTGACCAACAATGGGAAATCTGCTTCGTCCTCGCTAGGAGCAAGGAGTGTTCCTCAAGAAGGCCAAACAGCCCATTGGTTCAGTTTCAGAACGTCTTATAGCGTGCCCATGGGTACAGATACCCAGATGTGGGGCCATCTGGGGCTCATTACTCTTTCAGGTTTGGTGCTGAGGCTTACAGGAGACTCACCTGAACTCCCAGGATCCCAAAGATTATGAAAAAGGCACAGCAGATGACCACAATGTTCCCAATGGGCTTCAGGGACGACATGAGAGTCTCCACCACCAGCTTCAGTCCTTGGGCTCGACTAATGACTCTGTGGGTGCAAGTAAGCACAAAAGCGATGTTAGTCCTGTTCTCGCCCAGTTCTGCCTCCTATCAAGATAGGAGAGGTGGAGAAAACAGCATGAAGGCTTTTTTTAGAATGGCAAATAACTCAAAAATCATGATGGAAGACGCAGTTCTGGAAGATTGACCTGTGAGATCATGGAGGTGTTTGAGGGAAGGAGGTCTCTGCCTACACATACAGCTTTGCATAAAAGAAAAGGAGGAGGATACAACATACGAGGAGCCAGGCCAGAAAGGGCACTGGAGAAGGACCTAGGAAAGGAAGATATACAGTCTAGTCCCATATTTTTCAAACTTGCAATGACAGTTTTAATCTAACCCGCTACCTATTCTCGATCCGTTTGCCGATCAGCATCTTCTAGTTACCATTCACTATAATGTATTCAAACCCTGGCATTTTCCTCTTCCTATCATTCTGTCCAAAGCGCTCTCTAGGTTTCCAGCCTTGATCACACCTTCCCTGGGATTCAGCCTCTTAGTTTGGACCTTTGGGTGGTCACAGTTTGGGACACACACCTTTATGCCTGCAGTCTGTGCAGGACTGCAAAGAGAGGGCCTCCTGCATAGATTTAGGCAAGGCTCTTGATTTCCCTGTCTCAGTCTGTGAAATGGAGCAATCACATACCTGCTTGCACATCTGTAGTGACTGTAGAATCACAGAACGGTTTGGGTTGGAAGGGACCTTTAAAGGTCATCTAGTCCAACCCCCCTGCAGCGAGCAGGGACATCTTCAACTAGATCAGGTTGCTCAGAGCCTCGTCCAGCCTGACCTTGAATGTTTCCAGGGATGGGGCACCTCTCTGGGCAGCCTGTGGCAGTGTTTCACCACTCTCACCATAAAAAAAATTCTGTACATGTCCCTCCAGTGCTGCTGTGTACAGAGACCTGAGCTACCCCTCAGTACCATCACAGTCTCTGCTTTATACCCACTGTGCAACCTCAGCTACTGAACCAGTGGTGTCCTCCAAGTGACACTTCACCAGCAGGACCACAGGCATTTAACCTTGTTTCTGTAGCTCCTCTCTGTCTGGTACTGCATAGAATTTCATAACAGAGGATTAGATCATATGGGAATTGGGGAAGAATAACATGGACATCATGACTGAAACAGGTTAAAAAAAAAAAAAAAAGGAACGGGACTATACTTTCAAGGACAACACTACAATGAAAGGACAAGACTTGTGTGATTTAGAGAAGCCATCTCACCGTGCTGGGCAAGATGAATGAGGTATTCAGGCTCACAGACCTGAAGGTGGAGAGCTGAGGGCCAGAGAAAGGCATCTGAAGAGGCTGCACGCCTCCCTCCTCTTGATGCCAACTGGAATTAAGCATTTCACTAGCGCTGTAAATCAATTTGTACTGATGCCATAGAAACTGTGCTTTCCCAAGGGAGAAATAGCTGTTTGCTGTGTAAGTCAGACGGAGGGAAGTGCCTGTGTGCTTCTGGGTACTCGCTGGTGACTCCTTTGGACACTTGACACTCAAAAGTGCCATGAACTTCCCCATCTTCTTGTTTCTGCCTGGTTCTCTCTTTTGCCATGGGAATCCTCTCACCATCTCTCCTGTTTTCCCCCAAGTCTGGCTGCACCGCCTGAAGGACAGTTGGAGTTTTGTCGCCTAGAGAGGACCCAAGTTCTCCTCCTCTCTCCCTGTCCCAGGCACGGTGCTCCCAGGAGAGGTCCTGTGGATACATCCCCATGCCTGACATGCACGGCCTTAGCTGGGACACCAGCCAGGCCTGCACAAACTCTCTCCTGCCCCAGAGGTGACAGGTTTAGCAAACTGCAGTGTTCAGCGCACAGGCACCAGGTCTTTCAAAAACTGTTGGCTTTAAATAGTATCCCGAAAAGCTACAGATTATTTCCCTTTTTTTCTGCTTAAGTATTTACTTGAAATGCCAAGGGTAACTCATCAATTATAATTTTAAAAAAGAAACAGATGGTGGTATTTTTACCCATTCCCTTACCAGTGAAACTCAAAAGGCAGATGCTGCTATTCCTCACGCTGGGTGTCTCTTCCAGGTACCTGCTGTGGCTCCCTGTTTTGGACCCTTTGGCTTTCCTGATGCTCAGCTCTGGGTTATTTTAGGGAATGAGCTGGGGCTGAGATGGCTCAGGGAGCCGAAGGCTGCTCAAGGCTGAGATGCCCCAGAGGACGGTGTGGACCTCATGCAGCTATGGCAGCGTGGAGACTGGTCAACGTGGGCTGCCAAAACTGCCCAAGTGAATCAGCCCAGGCCGAGGTCCTCGTCCGGGGCAGCTATGCTGCTGCTGCCACGTTGTCCCTGCACCGAAGCTGAAAGCCAAGCCAAGGCCAGCTAGCAGAGGAGGCTGACAGCAGGTTAGCGTGCCCGATCAGTGAGCTGGTTCATCCAGCCGAAGGGGCAGTGTCCGCAGGGCAAGGGCACTTCCCACTCCACCTGAGCACACAAAGCAAGCATTGGGCTGGACAGTCTGAGGCTGAATCTCTCTTCTGGATCCCCAGATGATCTAAAGACCTTGCCATCCCTCACATTACCCTCGCACAGTCCTGGTGGAATACTACAACTGCCAAACCACAGATGGGGAACTGAGGCACGGGAGGACCAAAAGCCATGTTCTCAGAGGTATGCAGGCAGCTCATTTCCAATTATTTAAATGGAAATTAGGTACTTACACACCTTTAGGGAATCCCAACTAAGGCATTTTGTCCACTGTCACACAGAATGGAGTTGAAGTCAGGTTTTCTAAATTAAAGGCCTGTGGTCTAAACTACTGGAGCATCCTTAAATTTTTGGGAACAAGGAAGGAATTTAGTCTCCAGAGTCTAAAGTTGATAATTTTCTCCAACACTTATTAAGAAAGCCTATTCTAGAAATAATAAAGTGATTTCCCTTGTGAAATACTATTTGGTATCCAGCAGAGAGAGAAAATAGGAGGTTACTCATCTGACTTCGCAGAGTCATGTGTGTTGAGAAAAAAAGGGCTGAGAAACTGCAGCATTTGGCTTCTTTCAGTGTTTAGACCAACCAGGGAATTCCTCAAATGAGAATGCATGAGGGTAAAAGCTGCCACCAGTTTAGCTCCATGCCTGTGCTGTTTCCAGCCCTACAGGGAGAGAAGACTTTGAAAAGATTTTGAAAAAAAATAGTACTTATTAATGAAAACCTTCAGAGCTGCCTCAAACTGAGGGCCTGATCTAATGTTGAGGCAAGTCTCTACAAAGACTCCTGTCTCTCTCCTAAGAGTCTGATAATTCCCTAAGAAGTGCCAATGAAATACTCAGCATTTCCAGATCGTTAGTGTCAGCTCTAATATGTCAACATATAGCATCCCCATGCCTCATCAATATTGCCCAAGGTCCTGCTGATATCAGGCTTGTAAACCCACCACTCCTGCAATTTATTGGTGAAGGATCCAGCTGATTTGGAGCCCTCTGGGCATGCCAGAGATGTAGACTCACTGAGGGTGCACTCAGGACAATTCCAGTCTGCATTAGGCATATGACAAATGGGGAAACTGAAATGAAAACTTTTTTTTATTCAGTGTGAAGAAATGTTAATCCCTTGAGTTCCTTTTGGTTCGGCTGGTCTCAGGATTCCCAATGCTGTTAAACCCCTGGTGTAAGACTCTCCAAACCCACTGCCAGCCTCACCCCAGCTGGATCACATTTACTAATGTTAAGCCTGCTAGTCTGATCAGAGCTCTCAGAAGAAGCAGCACTTAGATGAAGTAGCAGATCAATGTTAATGAAGACCTTCCTCCACAGATTAAAAAAAAATTAGCAAAGGTGATAATATGATAGAAGAGAGTCTATGAAATGACTATTTCATACTGTGATGGTATGAAAAGTGAATAATTTATCCATCTGCTTTGGAAGTCAAAGCCCAGGCTCTGTAGAGAGTGAAACAGCGTTGAAGTCCACCCACATTAATTCTGAATACATTTTCAATTTTGATTTCTCTTGTATCTTAAGCTACAACACTTGATCCCAACAACAGCAGGTTGAACGCATTAGGAAGGAATGTTATTGTATAAGCAACCCCTCTACTGGCTGAAACATCAGAGGGTCATGGAAACATCTTTAAATGTCACTCCTTTGTGAATATATTTTTGGAATTCCAGCCATAAAGCTGGGCTCGAATCCTCATGGATTCAATTTGGAGGCTGATAATCAATCATGCAACCAAAAGCCCGTGACTGGCACCCAGGCCATGGGGTTTTTAATGCCTGTGCAAAAGGCACAAGCACGCATGGTTTTGCGGGCTGCATAAAGAAACGGGGTTGTTTTCACAGGACAAAATAAGAGCCAGAATGAAGAAGGTCTTTTGCAAGAAGATCCCCTTCAGACCATCAACCAGGAAAGCCAATGCAGAGATGATGAGGGCTGTCCCTGCTCTTGAGCTGAGTGTGACACTCACAGCTGTGGCTTGGCTTCTCACAGAGGGTGTGCTCCCTGCAGCCCTGTCCCTGAGTGCCCATGGAAAGGGAGGACAGAAGGAGCTGGGTTAGCTCCTCTGTGGTGGGGACGGAGCGTTCACTTCGGCCTCTGCCCTACACCTTCCTGGAAAGGAAAAACATTGGTTCAGTCTCCACATGGGACTTCACCGGGACACGGGGATGCGAGCCACGGTGTGCAAAGACCTCAGGTCACCTGTCCCAGCTGTCATCCCATGCTGATCCAGCTGAGCATCCCAGGCAGATCCCTGAACCACGTGGCGCAGCCCACGGCAAAGGCAGAGCGGGCAGCTGCGGGCAGAGGCATGCTCAGGGCAGCCCAGATGTGCGTCGCAGAGGCAGATGGGTTTCCACATGCGGAGATTTATGACTTACTGAAAAGCCCCCAGTTTCATGGCTGCTTTTTCATTTCCTACAAATCTAATTACGGGGAATAGAACTGATTGTGAACATATTTAGGGGATGGGCTTGTTGCTGTCTTTTTACGTTTCCTTTGTACTAGAAAGCAGCGTGTTGGCTGAAAACATTCACACACTCTCTTGAGAAAACATATCAAATGCCAACAGGAATGGAATAGCAATGGAAGAGCCTAATACTGCACATGCTCCAGATGGCAGGTCTTCCTCCAGCCTGCAGTTACTCAGTGGATTATTCCCCACAACTGCAGACTACTCATGAACGTAGATGACTGCACAGAAAGGCTCTAGTAAACAAAGACCTAGGTCCTGGACAGGCAGGCCTATAGATCTACAAAGAAGCATGCAGAGCTTTTACTAGGTCAAACAGGTGACTCTAGCAGGGCTCAGTGCAACCCAAGCCTCTTCCTCTAGATCTGATTTAACCACGCCACCTCAAAAGAGAAACTTGCATTCCACAGTTCAGAGATGGGAAATGGATCCTTTTACCCAGAGCTATCCAGATTATTTTGTAGGCATTCTTAACATAGGTCAAAAATCAGCCAAAACAGAAGAGCAGAGCAGATCTACCGAACCAACAATCTGGCAGAAAGTATCCTCAGAAACTACAGTTGACATGGAGATGCTGGGGGACACATGAAGAGAAAAAAAGTCTGCATTTGAGTCATGTAGAAAGACAGTCTAGTCACATGGTCAGGGAGCTGAACCACACCAATGGCGCTATCTGTCCAGATAAAAATGATTAAAAGCAGCTCACATCCTAAAACTCACCAGGTACAACACACACACTAGCCCAATTTAACAGAACGTCTTTCATAGCTGTTGAGAATATTTGAAAGATATACGTATAGGCATGGCCATTGTTATTTAGACTTATTATTCACACAGGGGTAGTAAAACAACATCTTCTGTCAGAAGCAGGGTCCTATTTTTCTGTCCTGAAAGAGAAAATCCTGACTCAAAGCAAACCTTTTATGAAGGAAGCAGCAGTAAGATATGACAGGCACACAAAGATGCTTTGAGCAGGAAGGTTTATTAGCTGCTGCACAACAAGAGCAGCAACAATGGTATTAAAGAGGGACTGCATTGAGCGTGGAGGGAAACCCTCACGCCTTGGGGTACAGGGCAAAAGAGACGCCTGTTTGGAAGAGTTCAGTCCTTGGGCAGGTTCTTGTCAGAGGGGTGCCTGCCCCTGGAGCATGGGATACTGCCTGCTGTCAGAGACAGGGGACCAAGTTAGCAGGACAGTTGCTTTCATCTTGTCTGGGCAATTTTCAAAATAAATGTCTCCATAAAATTAATGGAGAACTGAGGGGAAAAAGCTTCTTTGCATTCGAGGTTAAGCAACAGTTTAGTCTCTGCCTCCTTAAAAATGATCTGCCACCTGCTACTAATTTCCTTCTTTCTTACGAAAGCCATCGACTGCCTGAAGGAAAGGGGGAGAAGAAGCTGTTAAGCTGCACTTTACACAGAGCAAATGAGAACACAAATAGCAGGGGATGTGTGTTTTAATGAGCAAAAGAGGCATCGATCAGTTTACTACTGCACTTGGGGCTGGTCTCAAAACACAGCGAGTGCCCGGGGCTCCTTGCGGCTCTGCAGGACCTGCGGGCGCTCATTGTCTGCAGAGCAGCAGGAGGCTGGGCACAAGGCTGGCGAGAGACGCCGTGCCCTTGTCTCGCCTGCCCCTTCCCTTGCACAAATGCTGCTGCTGCCAGGAGAGGCTCAGCTCCCCCTTTGGCACACGCGCCCTACACTCATCCTCTTCCTCACCCTCTGCTTACCTTAAGGGCCGCAGTGTCCTCAGCAGTCTCAAAACCCGTAGCATCCCCAGGATTTTTGTGCCGCTGTCTGACACCATCGAGACCAGGATGTCGATGACGGAGATGAGAACCAGCACCCCATCCAGCACGTTCCAGCTGCTTTTCAAGTAGGCTTTCTCCCCAAAACACAAGCCTAGTGCCACCACCTGCCCGGACATCAAGTTGCAACAAATTATGACTATCGCATCCAATATGTTTCTTCCAGTTAGCAACCTGCTGAGAATGCATTATTTACAGATACAAGTCTGTGAGTCCATTTGCTTCCCAGTATAGCAGCCTAATTAGACAAATCAGCAAAGTGTTATATTGCAAGGATTGTAAAAATACCTCTGCAGAAACATCCCAGATTGTCCCTTACAGCTGATGTATTTTTAATGCAGCTAAACATAGCTGCACAAAACTGTTCCTAACACGTTTAGCTCTGGCATCCAAAGTTTGATTGTATTTTGTTCCTATAAACTGCTGGAGTAAAGGTTCAGAGAGGCTGACCCAAAGCAAGCATTTACAAGCTTTGCAAATAAAGAAACTAGAAAAACTTTCCAAAGAAAGAGCAATTGTTCTGCGAGATGATTACGAATTACACAAGAGAGATTCACAGCAATGGGTTTCTGAGCTTCCTGCCTCAAATCCAGCAAAGTGTTTCAACGTGCTTAAGTCTCTCTCTCCTCAGGAAAGCACATAGCTGCTTAGGTTGTTGAGGACAATTGGCTGTTGAAGACAATGGGACTTACATGCATGGTTGAAGTTAAGCATGTGCTCAAGAGCTTTGCTGAATAGGGAAGGATTGCTGAATTGAAGCATCCCATTGCCCATATAATGGTGTAAATCAAGAGCAACTTCAGTGAAATTCTTCTGATGTAAAACGTGCTCAGAATAAGGCATGTGGTGGGTATTTGAATATAACTCAGCAGAGGAACCTTGCTCGTAACTGGTAGACCTAGGGGTCTTGCCAGTCCACTGTAATAAAATATTACTAATATGATATAGGCACACTGATCCTCCAGCTTCGTTTACCTTAACTGTCATCTCAGTCAGGAAGATAACTGTAAAGATGTAGTTTGAGAGCGTTAGGAAAATCCGTTCCTATGAAAAAGAAAACGAGAGACAATGTTTTATAGCCTGCCCTCCGCAGCTGTACACCTCCCTGTGCATATTTGGGCAGTTGCTAACTGTTCTCCAGCTTCTGTGCTGAAACAAGGCTCGGACTGTTTACTGGGAAGGAGGAGAAAATCCAAATATTTAGACAATAACGCTCTGCGCAGGGCTGCGCTGCCAGCGCCCGGGTCTGTGTCAGCACCATGGACAGGGGCCGTCACCAGCGCCGGCCATTTGACCCTAAATCCCACCATTTGACCATAAATCCCACCATTTGACCCCAAATCCCACCATTTGACCCCAAATCCCCC